TATATATATATATATATATATATATATGAAGAGTTCAGATGCAAACGCCTCTTAGTGCCATTTTAGATTTTCTTCTCAAATGAGCATTTTTTTTAAATCAGGCTCCTATGTGTAGGTTCAGTAATTTCACTTTAATGCCAATGAAGAGGTTTTCATTGCTATTAAGTTGAAATAACTGAACATAAACATAGGAGTCTGAGAAAAATGCTAGTTTTAGAAGAACATTTCAGACGGCACTTAGAGGGTTTCACATCCGAATTCTTCACATGTAATTCTTTTTTTTTTCAGAGAGAAACTTAAAACTTTCTAATAAAAATGACATCAGTGCATTTCAACCCTGGGTTAGATTCCAAGGAAGTTAATGGGTAAGTGAATAACATTCAAATGAAGTTACTAACACTTCACAAGCATCATGACCTTTACTCCCCCACCTTTAAATTAGTAATTCAGCTCTATTCCCAGCAGAATTACATTGTGTTTAACAAATGACTCTAATGTCTGACGTTTTGTAAACTTTACTTTTCTAAAATGATGCAAGGTGGTTATGTTGTATCTTTTGTCTATGTATCTATATTGGAGCAGTAATGGGGTGAAAGAGGAGGCAGAGGTGCAGATTGATGATGGAAAGGAAGAGACTGAGGACCCAGACACCATGTACCAGTAAGTAAGCTTATAATTTGTTGACATTGTGATGTTTTGAGATTAATATTTTAACGTTTCATCCTGTATTTGATTTGTTTTGCAGTCGTATCCGGAAAACTATAGCTCCTTTTGTGATGTCCTTTGGTTTTCGGTAAGTGGGATCCTTTCATTTCAGAATGTCACATAAAGAGGCTCCCAGGACCTAAAAAATCCAATAAAAGTGTTTGTGATCTTTTCCAAAAATAGATTTTAGACTATGTTTTTCTATGTTCTTCTCTTCTTATTTGCAGTGTTTTTGGCCTGGTACTGATCATTGTGGATATTATTCTGGTCATTGTGGACTTTTCTCTTTCCAACGGTAGTCACGATGTTAGAAGAGCAATGGAGTCTGTTTCGCTTGTCATCTCCTTCTTTTTCCTCATTGATGTGCTGCTCCGTGTATACGTGGAAGGGTTAGTAGGTTTTCAATTTTGTGAATTTAGTCTTTCGTCTTGCATTTCATTTGAACGTAATTTACAAAACACTTTAGACTGAGAGTAACCAATAGCGCTGTAGTGTTCATGTTTCACATGATGAGTTGCTCATCATAGGAAATGATTTGCAGGAAACACATTTCCGGTTTGTTTTTCCCAAATGAGTTTTTATCACTCTGGACCAAGTTTCCTAGAGCTCAAGCACAAAAATAAGTTAAATGGTCCACAAGCTCAGCGAAAGGTATTATTTTACATATTTAGGATCTATTCCTTAGCAATCTCTGATAAACCTTTCTTAAAGGGTTAGTTCACCCAAAAATGAAAATTAGGCTGTGTTTTACTCACCCCCGAGGCATCCTAGGTGTATATGACTTTCTTCTTTCAGACGAATCCAGTCGGAGTTATATAAAAAATTGTCCTGGATATTCCAAGCTCTATCACTGCAGTCAGCTGGTGTTGCAGTGCTTCAGTTCAAAAGAAGTTAAATAAAAAGCGCCCATCCATAAAAAAAGTGCCTCACATGGATCCGGGGGGTGAACAAAGGCCTCCTGTAGCGAATCTATGCATTTTTGTAAGAAAAATATCCATATTCAAGACGTAATATTCACTTGAATAAGTGACATAATAATCACTTGCGCTCACTGTTGTAAACTGAAGCAGTTCCGGGCGGAAACACAGCCTAATTTTCATTTTTGGGTGAACTAACCCTTTAAATCATCTTCTTTCTCAGATTCAAAGTGTATTTCAGCTCAATACTGAATATAATAGATGCTTGTATTGTGGTCGTTACCCTGGTGGTCACCATGATCTACGCATTCACCGATCTCTCCGGAGCTAGCCTGATTCCCAGGTACAGCAGATTTAACAGAACACATTCTCAACATGCTCCCATTTCACCCAATATTCTAGTAGTATAAACCATATTAAAATGGTGTGTTTGCAGGGTGGTCACGTTCCTGAGATCTCTGAGGATATTGATTCTGGTACGTGTCTTCAGACTGGCCTCTCAGAAGAAAGAGCTTGAAAAGGTCACCAGGAGAATGGTGAGTGACACCAAGAAAATGTTGCTCATCACAGTGTGTGGTGTGGTCATTATAATAACTGCGATTGTGTCTCCTTAGCCAATCAGGTAATGCTTGGGATTTCTGGCGTCTCTGCTGGCAGTGAATGAATTTGCCTTTTTTAATAACCACATCTGCTGTTTTTGTTCAGACAAAGTGAAAATCGAGCCGTATTTTCACGCAGAGTTGTGAATGTGAACTTGTGAATCAACAAGATAATGCATTATAAAAATGTGAACAATTAAGACAGTAAAATATATTTAGATGGTATTTAATTAATATAATAATTGATTGATAATAATTGTTTAATATAATAATTGATACTTCTGACTCTTTTTTTTTTCTTCTTAAAAATGGTTTAAAGGCTGAAATGTGAAATTTATCATTTCATAAAACTTCTTGTTTTTGTGTAAAACCTGTATCTGAACTGTAAATCATGCTTTTTACATTCATACAGTCATTTTACAGTTTAAAATGTTACCATAGACATTGCTTAACCCTGCTCATACAGTATTAATTTAATTTGTGCAGGTCTTAAATAAGGGCTTAAAAAGTCTTACATTTGAGCTTAAAATCCTCAGATACCCTTTTTCAATCTTTTTGTGTTTCAAAGACGCATGTGCTGCATGTGTTTGATAAAAAATACAGTAAAAAGAGTAATATTGTGAAAACAATTTTTTTTCAATTATAGATATATACTTATAAACATATAAACTTTTGACTGCAGTGTATGTACTTTTCATTCTTCTTTTAAATTTTAATCCATTTTTATTTAACCACTTTTTATCCATTTCCAGTTTTATTTGTTTTCCTTATTTAATTTTTTGTCTTCTATTTAGTCGTTTTCTTATCTTTGTTTATATGTTCTTTCACATTTCTCACTCTCACGTAAAGCGTTTTATGTTGTATGAATTTGCTATATAAATAAACTTGATCTAATCATTTTCATAGGTGTCCGAGAACAAAAGACGGTACCAAAAAGATGGATTTGATCTGGACCTCACTTATGTCACGGGTTTGGTTGCTTTTTGTTGTAGTTGGCAGAAATATAGCCATTTAATTTCATCTTCATGTTTTTTCTCTTTAATTTTGCATCCGATGTATCATTTTAAATTCATTTAAAACATTATAAACAACATCAAAATGAATTAATTTGCTAACCAAAGTGATTAATCATGGGTCTTCAGAAAGAGTCATTGCCATGTCTTTTCCATCGTCTGGGAAGCAGGCGCTCTATAGGAACCCAATCAGAGTAAGATACATGGTAGTAGTTTACATATTTGAATCGTTCAGAAAACATTGCAACAATTGTATGATGAATACATAAATGACATTTCAGGAGGTCGCTAGATTCCTGGACACCAAACATCTGGATCACTACAAGGTGTTTAACCTCTGTAGTGAGTAGACGATGATCTTTATCAGATTATTTGACTTTAATTGCTAGTACAGATCATTTTTAAAAGGAGTGATAAATAAAGGGGGCTAATCTGACATCTGGTTTCAGGTGAGAAGGGTTACGATCCAAAGTTCTTTCACTATAGAGTGGAGCGTGTTATGATAGATGACCATAATGTGCCGTCACTCCAGTAAGTGTGCTGTCACCTCAACTGAACATCAAAATATGAATTTTTAGCAAGGTTTGAGGCTTTATTGAAGCTCTGTTTGTTATTAACGCTGTCAGAGATATGCTGTGGTACACGGCCTGTGTTAGGGAGTGGATGGCAGCAGACTCCAGCAATGTGATCGCCATCCATTGCAAAGGAGGAAAAGGTCTGTTGTTTGGTGGTATTCAGTGTTGTTCTGAATATTGAGTCTGTCTGAAGTGTGTAATGGTTGGGTTTTGTTCAATAGGGCGGACTGGGACTATGGTGTGCACGTGGCTCATTGACAGCGATCAGTTTGAGAGTGCGCAGGTACAGTCTGCTCATCCATGTTTACATTTAGAGCCCTTCTCATCCAAGATTGTGTTCAAATGTTCTATGAACCATCTTACAGGAGAGTTTGGACTACTTTGGGGAGAGACGGACTGATAAAAGTATGAGTTCGAAGTTCCAGGGTGTTGAAACTCCCTCACAGGTGTGTGTGACACTGGACTAGAAGCCATGGATCCAACAGTAATGTGTATATTCTTTTTTATTGATCCATATTCTGTTTGTTTTGCACTTGTAGAGTCGGTACGTCGGTTATTATGAGATCATGAAGAACCAATACAACCGTCAGCTACCACCTCAGAAGAGCCTGAAAATAAAGAGCTTTCGAATCCACTCCATCGCAGGTAAGACCCAGCCTGTTATTATAAATATATCACTTATAAAACTTATTAATGTATACATGAGAAATATGCAAAATAATTTAGATATTGAATATGAAAATACTAATATATGTGACCCTGGACCACAAAACCAGTCATAAGTAGCATGGGTATATTTGTAGCAATAGTCAACAATACATTGTATGGGTCAAAATTATTGATTATATTTTCGTAAATATCATGATCCATGAAGATATTTTGTAAATTTCCTACTGTAAATATATCAAAACTTAATTTTTGATTAGTAATATGCATTGCTAAGAACTTCATTTGGACAACTTTAAAGCTGATTTTCTCAGTATTTTGATTTTTTTGCACCCTCAGATTCCAGATTTTCAAATAGTTGCATCTCAGCCAAATATCGTCCTATCCTGACAAACCATACATCAATGGAAAGCTTATTTATTCAGCTTTCAGATGATGTATAAATCTTGTATAAAACCCTTATGACTGGTTTTGTGCTCCACGGTGACATATAGAATAGCAATATATAGTAATGTATATAGGTCATATACAGTAGATTTGAAATACATGTATTGTATCCATGCATATTTATTTTATTTTAATATTGAATATATACACATTTTATGATTAAAATAAATAATAAATGTATGTATGTGTGTGTGTGTGTATGTATATATATATATATATATATATATATAAAAAAAATATTTACATATCAAACACCTGCTTCCATGGAAAATATGTTTAAATATTTGTTGAGTACATACTGTCATCAGGCATGATCTACTGACTCCTAGTGGTTCTGTCTTGCACTGCGTCACATTTGACATGAGTGGATGCTTGTATTCAGTGAAACCTATAATATATTTTCAGCTTGTTCCTATAATGTAGCTCTTATCCCCAACATTTAAATAGAAAAGAGTCCTTTCTGGTTTAAGTTTTGAATTCTTTAGAATATTTATATTTGATAAAGCTTGGTAACAGAGGTCTACTCCGTATTTGTAAATTGAATGCCATATCAATTCATTCAAAAAGACGAGACTTAATTAAATATACAAAACACTACCATTTAAAAGATTTGATTTTTTTTGTATTTTTAGATTTTTTCAAAATGCATCTCATGCTCACCGAAGCTGTATTTATTTGATCAAAAACACAGTAAAAAACTGCAATATTAAATAATTACAAAATAACTTTTCTAATTGAATATATCAAATGTCATTTATTCCTGTGACGCTAACAGAATTTTCAGCATCATTACTCCAGTCTTCAGTGCCACATGATCCTTCAGAAATCATTCTGATATGATTCGTCACCTAAACATTTCTCACTTTTATCGGTTGAAAACCGTTGTACTGCTTAATTTTGTGTAATCTGCAATACATTTTTCCCCCAGAATTATTTTATTAAATTTCAAAGGAACAGCATTGATTTGGAACAGAAATTTGTGACATTAACAACATAAATTGCTTTTGATTCATTTAATGCATATTTGCTCAATTTACTTTTTCCAACAACATTGTGAACCCAAACTTTTGAACTATACTGCAGTTTAAATCTATAAACAAATTACCTTGCAAAATAATTATTAATCTAGACCTTCGGACAATCCATTTCAACATTCATAAAATCCCACTAGAATTGCAAAATCATTATCAGCAAGTCAGCGACAGTTCACACAGAAACATGATCACAGACTCTCTTCATCCTTGCATTAGCAATTAAAACAAGTTGAACGACTTGTGGTTGAAACAAACCATTTTCTTTTACAATAAGCCTTCAACAGACTCCAGTGTGCAAACTATAGCTCAATGCAGGAAGTGATAACACTAAATATAGATATCACTTCTAAAGTGACAGACCACAATCCGATCAAAAGTGACGCAAATCACACAACCACATGAGTGAGAATGAGGACTGAGACGTTGGAGCAGTTGTGGTTTTTACACGATTCAGTGAAGTCACTACCTGCTCCACTTTCAACCAATAATACTTTACTTTGGTTCTCTGCTCTAAAGTCCACATCTTTACAAGAACTGCTGATTTTTTTTAACCCTATCTTGACCAGATACCTTACAGCTTCAAATAATTGTCCATAGCAAGTCAGCTTTTGATGATCTCAAGTACAAATGTAACAAATGCTACAAAAAGTAGTTCAAATGAAAGTGTCGGTGACGTTGGTGTGGTATTAAACCCATTAGAACTCTAGTTTCATATTTTCTCAACACATTGTCTTCCTAACAGAGTGTTTATCTCCGTGTAGCACGTCACACTGCGTTAGAAGGTCGTATCGTCCGCTGTGTAGAAGGCAGATTAGTGACGTCTTGCAAGTGTCTGTGCAGGGCTTTGAGACGTGGCCTTTATGAAAGAGGTACCAGAAGCGCTGGAAGACACGGTCATCATCCTTCATGACTTTGATCAAAGCGTTCATGTCTGATGGGAAGAGTGTGGACAAACCGTAGGCCTTAGACGCGCGGTACAGTAAGGTCCAGGATGGGTTGGGGTCAGGTTGAGAGGGCTGGTTGTTAGCCAGAGTCAGGTTAAGAATAAAAGTCTCGTGATCCAAAACCATGCGATTACTGCCTGGGTAGTTTCCATCCACGTAATATACGCGATATCCTGACCATAAAAAAAGCATATTATAGCAATAAGATACGATTTTGTGTGAATAACTAAATGCTAAAATAGAAATAAAATAACTATATGCTAAAACAAAACATAAATAAATATAATTAAACACTAAAATAAAAATGTAAAACCACATAAAACTATGCTAAAATTAAAACAAAAACGAATTAAAATAACTACATGGCAAGTAAAAATAAAAAGTCAGAGTATAGTAGAAAGCACTATACAATTAATGATTATTTTATGAAGAACAGCATTTAATTGAAACTTTATAACAATAAAGGTCTTTGCACACCGAGTCCGAAATTTTCGCACGTTAAAAAATAAATACGAGCTCGTTATAGCAATAAGATACGATTTTGTGTGAATAACTAAATGCTAAAATAGAAATAAAATAACTATATGCTAAAACAAAACATAAATAAATATAATTAAACACTAAAATAAAAATATAAAACTATGCTAAAATTAAAACAAAAACGAATTAAAATAACTACATGGCAAGTAAAAATAAAAAGTCAGAGTATAGTAGAAAGCACTATACAATTAATGATTATTTTATGAAGAACAGCATTTAATTGAAACTTTATAACAATAAAGGTCTTTGCACACCGAGTCCGAAATTTTCGCACGTTAAAAAATAAATACGAGCTCACGTTGTGTCAATCATGTTTACACACTGCCTCCGAATGTTTCGGCCGTCATAAAACAATCTGGATCAGGTTCGATTTTCTGCGTTTTGGCATCCGTAGCAAGCATTTTGATAGGAAAGGATGACGAATATGAATTATATATATATATATATATAATTTTTTTTAAACGCATACGAAAATTTCGGACTCCATGTGCAAGGACCTTAACTGTCTTTGCGGTCACTTTTGCTTAATTTAATACATAGTAATTAAATACATGGTATTACTTTCTTTAAAATAAATAAATAAATAAAAATACTGACCCCAAAACACAGCTACAATAAATGCGAAAGCAAAAATAAGCCTATTAGAATAAACAGACTGATTTTAAGATGAAAACAACAACAACAAAATAAATTAAAAAGCTTAAATAAAATGTGGTAATTTTTTTTCTCAATTCAATTAAATTTTGAATTAAATTAAATTAAAAAAATAAAATATCTATCAACTAATATAGTACAGTGAGCACCTGGGTTCAGGTTGACATAAGTGGTCACACTTGGGGCGATGAAAGCCACACTTAGTGGACGAGTCAATGTATCTTCATCATAGAACATCTGAAACTCATCGACATGCGTGTGTCCAAAAAACTGACCAGTTATGGTGCTTTCATATCTGGAAAATGAAAGAGAATTATAGGAAGGAACCAGATTGCTTGCTAAAGTGAACCATTAACCACTGCATTACATACACCTCCCGGTATATATGGAAAATGGCAAATACAATTATCTCAAAACCAGGCAGTTACAGTCAACATAACCCATTTTTGCAACAGTATGGCACTTGTGATCATAAAAGACACTGTGGAGCTGTTAGAAGCCTTTAGGCCACAGTCACGCAGTTGTGTTGATTCAACCACGGGTTACAACAGATAACAGTGAACTCTTGTGTACAGCAGGACGGCCCATACAGTGTGTTCACAGAAAAGTGACTGACCGGTTCACTATATGATAGTAATTCCAACTCCAGCTGCTCAAACAGAGTCCCGGGGGGATGTGACCGATGATGTGGACCTGAGAGAGACCAGCGGAAACAGACCTTTGTTTAGATCTGGTTATTAAATTAAAAAAAAGAAATTACACAATTAAAATACTAAACCGAACAAAAAAAGAAAAGAAAACCGCAAACAACAAAAATTCAAGATAGACCAAGATTTTTGGCTTTGTTTTGAGAAAAATAAAAGAATTGTGGACCCTCTTACAAAATAATTTGAGTAACATTTAGTAGTAGAAGGATCATTGGCATCTAATATATAATGTCCAAATACAAACAAAAGTTCAAAACTGAAACTGACTCGTGATCAGTTGCCTGGATGTTTAAACACCTCTAACCCACAAACACGAACATTGCAACTTGTTAAACTGCTGCAGCGAGCAAATGGCTTCAACATTGTTGTTTGTTTTCTTATGTTCTTAATACAAAATAAGAGGTTTTCTGGTTTCTCTGATGTTTGTAAACTTCTCGTACCTTCTCTCCCTTGTTCTCGGACTCTTGTAGTATATTAATGAGCCACTGGAGCTGACCCGCCGGGTCTGTGGAGTTCACCATCAGCCAGTAGTTCTCTTGCGCACAGAAGTTCATGTTCAAGGACACCACCCTCAAACCACGCTCAACTTCAACCGTGTAAAACCCTCCACGCCTAGAGAAGACAAAACACACATTATACATAAATAAAGTATGTGTTGATAATAATAATAATAATAATAATAAAATTATAAATAAATTATATAGTTGTAAAACTACCACCACCACCACCAACAACAAAACGTTAAGGAAGACATAAATATCTAAACAGCCACATTATATTATATTACAAAAAACTATATAAATAAACAAATAAAATATTATTAAATGGTTACATAAAAAACAACAGCAACAACAACAATAATAATAATTTAAAATTTAGATACATTCCAGGGGGCAAAAATATAAAAACTTGCCACATATGTAGCAAGTAAATAAGTAAATAAATTATTTATTTATTTATTATTATTGTTATTATTATCAACAACAAATAAGATACATTCCAGGGGCATACATCTCAAATATATAATAAATAATAATAAATAAATAAAATTCATAAAACTAATTCAATCAAATAAAAATAACAGCTAACAATAACAATAATATCATGATATTATATTACAAATAAAAATAATAAAATATAAACTAACAACAACAACAATACTAATAATACATTTTATTGTGTATTTATCAGTGAAGATACTCAAAATGTGATGTTAATTAATGTGACAGATTTAGCCAAAATAATTTAAGGTCTCTTCCATCAGTACTTTACCGTATCGTCTCCAGGGCTTCCTTTGGCAGCCAGGGTGCCCACTCCTCAGCCATGGTGTCATAAAGCCAGCGGGACGACCGATTTCCATGTACAAACGGAGGAGGGAAACTATTCACCGGAGTGCTCTCGTGATTCCCAACCGCTGGGTAAACGGTTACATTAGGCCCCAGGTGTTTGTGTAGGAGTCTAGTGATGGTGACGAGCTCGTTCAGCTGTTGTTCCCGGGTCTGAGACCAGATGTTGTGTGCTGGAATGTCTCCTGTCCAGTAAACCCAATCCCACGGCCCAGATTTGGCTACGTTTTGGAGAAGGTTCTCCACTGTGCGCAGAGGCAGGTCACAGTCGCCATACGTGCCCCAGTATCCGGCTCCAGTGTGCTTCCAACCGGCCCTTCCAGAGTGATTTCGACAGCACAGTGGTATCTTACAGTCCACAAGACTGCCTTCGGCATACTCCGCATCCCAGTGGATATCCGTGAGGAAGAGGATTCGGCTCTGTGAAGAGCCCGGTTTGGGAGGGGTGGGCGGT